GGGGGTTTGTAAGCTGCTCTGAGACTCCCTTTGGGTAGCGAAGGGCGGGGCATAAATCCAATCTCTTCTGAGAGCCAGTTTGGTGTCGTGGTTGAGTGCGCGAACTCTAATCTGGGAGAACCAGGTTTGATTCCCCACTCCTCCACTCACAGCTACTGGGTGACCTTGGGCAAAGCCATAGTTCTGTCAGAGCTGTTCTTGAAAAAGAGCCGTTTCTGTCAAGAGCTCTCTCAGCCCCACCTACCTCACGGGGCGTCTGTCGTGGGGAGGGGAAGGGAAAGGAGTTTGTCAGCCGCTCTGAGACTCTTTTGGGTAGTGAAGGGTGGGGTATAAATCCAGTCTCCTCCTCCTCCTCTGCCTCCTCCTCCTCACAAAAATTGTACTTTGTGAGCTCCTGGCATTAAAGTTGTGAGCGAGCAATTTGGCTACTGCATCAGTTAGTGCGCTCTGGATCCATGCTTCCTGAGCTGAGACAAAAACGGGTGGAGCCGGAGGCTAAAAACCTGTAAGCTAGCTCACACCAACTCAGCTTAGAGGCATCGCTGGTTATGGTGCCCGTGAGCACCGAGTTGGGGACCCCATGTGCTATGCCGGGTTTGGTAAGAAGTTAAGAATCGCTCACATTGTGGTTCTGAATGTCCCCACTGCGGGCGAAGTAAGGAATTGCTCGCCTCTCTTGTGCATATACCTGAGATGTTGGAAGGGCCTTTGGCATGAGCCGAGATATCCCCTCCTTCCCTCAGACGTTCTCCAGTAAGGGGAAGAAATCTTTCTCTGTGTGCCGTGCATCCGAGTGCAGGTGTTAGGCTGCAAGGTTTGTGGATCCTTCTTAAGTAGGAGCCTTTGAAACGGCTTCTGTCTTACCGAACTCTTAGGGCTTCTTTTGGAATTTCCCCAGATGTTCCCGGGAGGAGGGAGATAAGCCACAAATCCACAAATTGGCTTAACTGTGCTGGATGTGATTAGAGAAGACCCAGGTGCCAAGGGTCACTGTTTTGTGGTCAGCACCACCCCCTGCTGGTGGATGCATGCCGCAAAGGGGAGTCACCTTTTCTGAATGCAGTGATTCCCAAAGTGGGTGGGTTTTTTTGCATTTCCTCTCCCCCCCTCCCAGTTCATGCCTGGATCAACCACTAAGCAAAATAAGCATGTGCTTAGGGCACCAAGCAAAGGGGGACAACCACAGAGTGGGTTTTTTTGTTTATATTGCTTACTGCTATTTAGTGTTAAATAGCCAACTAATCTTATGCAGGAGCCAAATCGCTCTCTCACAACTTTAATGCCAGTAGCTCACAAAGCCGAATTTTTGCTCACAAGGCTCCACAGCTTCGAGGGAGCTTTGCTTGGGAGTAGAGGGTTTGAGCATCTCTTGCTGGATGCATTCAAGCAGAGGCTGGGTAGCCATCTGTTAGAGATCCCCTCACTTTGGATACATTGCTTTTGAGTAGGGGGCTGGTCTAGATGCCCTCTAAGACCCCTTCCCACTCTCTGATATACCAGCTCATGGCAGAGAAGGAGAAGAGATTGGATTTATACCCCTTGCCCTTCACTCGGAGTCTCAGAGCGGCTTACAAACTCCTTTCCCTTCCCCTCCCCACAACAGACACCCAGTGAGGTAGGTGGGGCTGAGAGAGCTCTTGACAGAAACGGCTCTTTTTCAAGAACAGCTCTGACAGAACTAGGCTTGCCCAAGGTCATCCAGCAGCCGCGAGTGGTAGAGTGGGGAATCAAACCCGGTTCTCCCAGATTAGAGTCCGCGCGCTTAACCACGACACCAAACTGGCAGATGTCTTTGTTCCAGGAATGCCTGTTCTCATTACTGATGTCACTCTCGTCCAGAGTCCTTATTGTGCCAAGAGCACCGGACAAGGATTATGACCGGCCTCAATAACCTTCTCTTCCTAACACGGATTGCCTGTGGAAGAGATGCCCATAGGGCCCCCCGGGGCTTGAATTCTGTATTTTAAATTGGGGTGACCTCCCCGTTGCTTACCCTGTTGGGATCCCCGCGACTGTTGAGCCGGGAGTGCTTTGAGACGATCTTCTCATTCGCTTTTGAGAATCACCTCGTTTAGGACAGGGACTGGCCCCGTCCTTTTTCCTTTGCTGCGAAAACAGGCAGGCCTTTGTCCCCGGTTAACTTCTGCATTAACTGGACAGAAACCGAAAGCCGCCCGGAGCAGCCCCGGTGCCCGATTTGGGTTTCGATGAAAGATATTTGGTTTCTAGGAGCGTTCCTGTTCCCTTGCCTCCCACACCGGGGCCCGTTTCTCTTTCTGTGAAGCCCGTCATATCCAGGCTGTGATTGCAGTCATTTCCATAGCAACTGGCCAACTGAACGGAGGATTATGACTTCAGTAAGGAGCCAACCGGCAGCTTCAAAGCGGGCTCTGCTCTTGGAAACCAACGGGGAAGATAAGCACATTTTCCCGGTGGAGGGAGGAATTCCTGCAGGGTCCGTAAATCCGTGTGCCCTTCCAACAAGACTGGAATAATACATAGAAATCTCCAAGCACTAATGCCGATGTCTGTGCTGTAGGAACTGGGAAGAAGAAAATGTTTCCAATCCATAATTACGGTTATTTGATTCCTGGAGGTTCCCCCCACCTCCTTCATGAGGCAAGTTCGGCCCTGATATCCTGTCTGGTTGTCCCTGTAGAGCAGGGATGTCGAACTCATTTGTTATGGGGGCCGGATCTGAGACCTCGTTGGGCTGGGCCGTGTGCGTCATAAAATGTAATGCCAGGTAGCGGGGATATAAACTTTATAAAGGACACAAAGGTGTTTTTTTTTAACCTAAAATAAAAACATGCTTGAAACATTAGCACTCTTGCAATATTTTCTTTATTCAACAGTGTCTGATAACTGACACCTCTTGCTCTGAATTATTGCATGAAAATGTCTGTGCTGTTGCAATCCTAAGTATGCTGTTCAGGTGTGTATCTGTAAGCTGCAAACCTACGATGACGCAGCAGCAGCAGAACTGGAAGAAGAAGCAGAAGACAGCCAGTTCCACTGAGGGCCTGATAGAAGCCCTCCGGGGACCTGATCCGGCCCCTGGGACGCATATTTGACACCCCTGCTGTAGAGCATGCGCTAAACTGCAGAGGATTCTGGGACAGGTGGGACACGATCCCTCACCCCGTACTGGATCTGTGGGAAGGTCGGGGGGGGGGGGGGGGAACGACTTGTTGACTTCCATCTCTGGCTTGATTTGTGCACGCACTAGAAGGAGGTGGCAAAACAGTCGGTACCGCTTCTGAGTGCAGGGAATGGACAGAATGTCGAAGGAGGATCTGGCAGGGCCAGGTTCGAATCTCCGCTCTCCCATCGCGTTCCAGATCTTCTCTTATAGCTTAACCTACCTCACAGGGTGGTTGTGACTTGAGAGTAAACTAGGGGAAGGAAAACCATGTGTTCACGGTTGTCTATTTTTGTATGTTCTTATGAATTGTTTTCTACTCCTGTAATTTAGTTTCCTATTTTTGTAATTCGTTTCTGTATTATCTGATCCCCTTTTTGTGGTGTTCATATTTTTTGGAATCCTAGTCCTATTGCGTTGCTTATTAGGTGTCTCGTCCCTTTGGTTGGCTTTGTTTTCTACCATGTAATCTGCCTTGAGTCACACAGTGAGAAAGGGTAGGCTGTAAATAAAGTAAATGAATAGGCAGATGCCAGCAACTGAGGGAGTGGGCCGGGGCCGTTTCTGCTCAGCAGTCAGCAGAGGAGCAGCCGAATTCCTGAGGCTGGGCAGCTGACATGACCAGGAGACCTTTCTCTCAGTCCTCTTAACGCGCCGCTGCTCTGACCCGTCTGCTCTTTGCAGGCCATTTTCTTGCACCGGACAGCGATGTCAGAAGTCACTTGAAAGGCTTAAAACTCTTCCCCTGGGCTGCCGTAGCAGGAACAAACCTAGCCGTGATCTGCTCCTGCTACTTAGCAATGTCTTCTCGGTTCCTGGGGGGCAGCTCAAGGCGTTCTTCTGCTGCAACGACGTACCTGTACAGTCACCTGTTGCGGGGCCAGGCCAAGCCCTGGCAGTGTCCATGGGGGCTTGGGCTCCGAGTGGGTAACGTGGCTCTGGGCGGAGGTGTGTAGACTGTGCCTGCCACCTCCACTGCTCACCCCACTGGTGGCCGAGAGAAAGACGAGCTCCAGGGCCACGTCTCCGTCCTTGCCAGACGGGGTTGCCCCAAGCAGCTGGTTGGGCAGAGAGCCAGCCAGCCCTGCGTGTTCCTTCTTTCCCATGTGCTCAGTACAGCTGCACGGGAGTGGAGAAGGTGAGACAGCCCTGCCTGTTCCCTCTCCCTCGTGTGCTCAGTACAGCTGCACTGGAGTGCAGAAGGTGAGGCAGCCCTGCCTGTTCCCTCTCCCTCGTGTGCTCAGTACAGCTGCACGGGAGTGCAGAAGGTGAGCCAACCTTGCCTGTTCCCTCTCAGTACAGTCGCTCGGGCATGCAGAAAGACCCAAATTCTGATCCTGCCGTCTGTCCAATTCTGAAAAACGACTTCAGCCTCTGGTGCCGTTTTCAGTTCCCCGGCCTCACCCCAGCAGCACGACTTCGGACCAGTGGTGGTCTGCGGATCGTAGTTTCCAGAATTGACCCAACCAAAAGTACTGCCGTAAGCAGGCCCACCCGCAGGGCCGCTGTTTAATACCCTGTCCCCCATTCCTGGGCTCGGTCGGCCGAATCAGCTTGAGGCAGCCGGTGGTAACGAAACAATAACCGCCGCATGCATCCCAGCAGCCATCAAGGAACAAATCCATTTCCCCCACTGGCTGGTTCGGCCCCCTCTGGTTCTCTTGAGCCGGCAAGTCACAGTGGGAAATTGCAGAGGGGGGAAAAGTTTGAAGTGAAACGAGATTAAAAAATCCAGGCACCGTGACAGATCTTGCACGCTCAGCGACGGCCCGCCACATCGTTTGCAATGCAATTCAGGCAGCTTGCCGGGAGCTCTATCACCATTTATCTACCACCATTTTCTCCCTCCCTCTTTCAGAATAAGGACGATGTTCCACCGGAAGCCAAGCAGTTTAGAGGCGACGCCGAAGAGGCAGAGGCGGCAAAGCACAAGTACGTTAGCGGTTAATGTTCTCATTATTGTGATTTTGTGGGGGGCGCACTAGACACCCTGCCTCCCCCGTGCTGGTTCACCGCTAAACCCTGCCCGGCAAGTCCGAAGCCAGCACCCGGGTCATGCCCGCTCTCCCACTCCAGCAGGAAGGCGGCTGTAGATCAAGAAAACTCGTATTTCCTGTTTGTACGTATCAGGTAAGTGAGCCGCAATATGGCATGTCATGCGAGCCCCGGGGGCGGTGAATAATGAATGAATCGATCTCGCCTTCCCGGTTTCTGCTGAATAAGCCTGACTTGTGGAGCATATCGTACAAAACAGGGGTCCCGAGAATCAAGCTGCAATAAAAAAAGGCCAACGCTATGCTGGGGATTATTAGGAAGGGTATTGAAAACAGATCGGCCAATATCATAATGCCCCTCTATAAAACAATGGTGCGACCTCATTTGGAATACTGTGTGCAGTTCTGGTCACCACACCTCAGAAAGGATATTATAGCTTTGGGAAAAGTGCAGAAAAAGGCAACTCGAATGATAAAAGGGTTGGAACACTTTCCCTATGAAGAAAGGTTAAAGCGCTTGGGGCTCTTTAGCTTGGAGGAACGACGACTGGGGGGTGACATGATTGAGGTTTATAAGATTATGCATGGGATAGAGCAGGTAGAGAAAGGAGACTTTTCTCCCTTTCTCACAATACAAGAACTCGTGGGGCACTCAGTGAAATTGCTGAGCAGTCAGTTTAGAACAGATAAAAGGAAGTCCTTCTTCACCCAAAGAGTGATTAACACGTGGAATTCACTGCCACAGGAGGTGGTGGTGGCTACAAGCATGGACGGCTTCAAGAGGGAATTGGATAAGCATATGGAGCAGAGGTCCATCGGTGGCTCATATAGGTATAGATAGGAACTCTCAGTCTGGGGCAAGGGATGCTCTGTATTCTTGGTGCTGAGGGGGGCAACAGTGGGAGGGCTTCTAGTGTCCTGGCCCCACTGCTGGACCTCCTAATGGCACCTGGTATTTTTGGCCACTGTGTGACACAGAGTGTTGGACTGGATGGGCCATTGGCCTGATCCAACATGGGCTTCTCTTATGTTCTTATGGATAAAGCTATGGAGCAGAGATCCATCAGTGGCTATTAGCCACAAGGTATAGATAGGAACTCTCAGTCTGGGGCAAGTATTCTTGGTGCTTGGGGGGGGGGGCAACAGTGGGAGGGCTTCTAGTGTCCTGGCTCCACTGCTGGACCTCCTGATGGCACGTGGTATTTTTGGCCAGAGTGTTGGACTGGATGGGCCATTGGCCTGATCCAACATTGGCTTATCTTATGTTCCTAAGCCCAAGTCGTGTCTGCTATGAGATGCACAACAGAATTGCAGAGATAATAAGGTGGAAATGAAACGCATTGTTCATCTTTGCTGGTCGGCAATTGAAGATCTCCTGACTACATTCTGGCCCCACTGCTGGACCTCCTGATGGCACCTGGGTTTTGTCTTGGGACATTAGCCTGATCCAACATGGCTTCTCTCATGTTCCTGTGTCGCCAGGGTAGTCTGTCTGTAGCAGTAGAAAAGAGCCCGAGTCCAGTAGCCCCTGAAAACGAACAACGTTCGTGGCAGCTTTCTGGAGTCACCGCTCGCTTCTTCGAAGTGCTCTGTTCTGCTGTATAAGTAGCGTCAATGAAATAATAAGACTGAGATGACGAATGAGCTTCGGTGTTCAAGTCTTGCCCTCAGCTCTTCTCTCTCTCCCCCTCCCCAGTGAGCTCAAGCTGCGGAATTACACGCCGGAAGACGAGGAGCTCAAGGCACGAGTGGTGCCTCCAGCCAAGCCAGCCTCAGGTAAGTGCTCGTTTCAGACGTACGTGGAGCCCTGCTGAGTTGGGACCAGGGGTCCGTCTTGTCTGGCCGTCAGTAGCCAGCTAGATGTTTCAGGGGAAGCTTAACAAGTTGTTTGTGATGGTAGAAATGGAACGTATCGTGTGGGGCTGCGTGTGGAATAGCCAGGAGATCCCCCGGGGGGATGGTTCGGATGCCGAAGCTGTAGCTCTTTTTTTGGCACCACTAGGTGGCGAGCTATGCTTACTTTTAGGCCGAGAGTGCTGTGACTTGCCTAAGGTCACCCAGCTAGCTTCAAGTGGGGGATCGAACCCACTTCTCCAGATTGGAATCTGCCGCTCTTACACACTACGCCAAGCTGAAGGTAGTGCTCCAGCACTTGGATGCTCAGAGGTGCATTTCCGTTGAGCACAAACAGCTTTTGCGGCCACCCGGAGACGGCTCCTTTGGCCGTGGCCAAAAGCTGCCGGCCTCAGCGGGAGACCTGAAAATTTGTCCATTCATTCCTTGGGGTTTTTTTTAATATATTTATTGGTTTTCTTACATACATATTCCATAGTTCATTTATATACATACATCTTCGAGTCATTTATCTATTCTCTAACCATTTGTACATTCCCGACCATCGTTTTACAAAAATTTATTCATTTTCCCCCTGTAACATTAAACTCAATTTGTCCATTTCAACTACCCCCAATTCTCAATTATTTCATCTTGTTTGGGGGTATTATCTTGCTTCCAGTATTTCGCCCATTGTATCCTAGCTGTAGTTATTATATATAATATTAAGTATTGTCCATTATAATTAAGGTGTTCTGGAAGTATGTTAAGTAAAAATATTTCTGGCATTAAATCAAGTTTCACTTTAACCATTTCCTGTATTATTTTCTGAATCGATATCCAGTATTTTTGTATTTTCGTACATCGCCACCACATATGATAAAATGTTCCAACACTTGTTTTACATTTCCAACAAATGTTAGAGCAGTTTGCATAACATTCATTCCTTGTTGCAGCTCCCTCAAGGAATCATAAGCATCGGCAGGAAAACAAATGAACAACTTGCTTTATTTATTTTTCCTGCCTGGGAAATTCTGCACTGCTTTTGTCCAGGCCTTGAGGGCTGGTTTGTTTACAAGTCTGCTGCTTGCAGGTATCTTGTGTGCGTACTAAAGTGCTGTCAAGTCTCAGCCGGCTTATGGTGACCCTGTAAGACTTTCCAAGGCAAGACACTTCCAGAGATGGTTTGCCACTGCCTGCCTCTGCATAGCAACCCAGGACATCCTTGGTGGCCTCCCGTCTAAGTGCAAAGCAGGACCTGCTTAGCTTCTGAGATCGGGCAGGATTAAGCGATCTTGGGCTATCCAAATCAAGGCTTAAAGGTAAAGGTTCCCTTGCTCGAAAGCCAGTCGAGTCCGACTCTAGGGTTGCGGTGCTCATCTCCGTTTCAAAGTCGAAGATCCAGCGCTGTCTGAAGACGTTTCCGTGGTCATGTGGCTGGCATGACTAAACACCAAGGCGCATGGAACGCTGTTCCCTTCCACCGAAGGGGTACCTATTTATCTACTTGCAATTTCTTGCTTTCGAACTGCTAGGTTGGCAGGAGCTGGAACTAGAGATGGGAGCTCACTCCATCATGCGGCAACTCGGGTCTTGAATCAAGGCTTAGTAGCGTAGAAATATCAGAATGGATTTGTACCCTGGAGCGTGTCCCCATGGGCCATGGCTCAGTGGTAGAGCGTTCGTTTGGCACGCAGAAGGTCTTAGGTTCAATCCCTGGCATCTCCAGTCAAAAGGACCAGGCAGGAGACTGAGACTCTGGAGAGCCACTGCCCGTCTGAGTAGACAACGCTGACCTTGATGGACTGTCTGATTCAGTATAAGGCAGTTTCATGTATTGGCTGGCTTGAAGTTTACAGACATTGGTCAGTGAGATACTTGTGCACACAGGCCATGCACATTTACGATCCAGATATGCCCATGTTACACACTGACGACACACAAAGCCTCAATATTTATATAATGTGTGTTTGTGTGTACACAACAGTTTGCCACACACACACACACCCCAAAAGAAAGAAAGAAAGAAAGAGATCATGAGAATTTTAATTCCAGAAAGACAAGTACCATTCTGGGATGGAGGGGACAACCTACAGTTCCCAGAATTCCCTGGGGAGGCCAGGTCAGGTTTGTTCTGAGGTTGTAAAACACCTCTGTGGTGTGTCTTGGGGAGGGGGTAGCCGCAGACTGGACGCGGCCAGTCTCCAGGAGCCTGTGCGGAGCGAGGGCACCATCCCCTATATTGGGTGGTGGTGAGGGTCGGCTCTTGTACCACCCCTGACGGTTTTTGCTGTCTCCTCTCGCCCTCTAGTGGAGGACAAGGTGAAGGACCAGCTGGAGGCCGCCAAGCCCGAACCCATCATCGAAGAAGTGGTACGTTTCAGGCCCTCTCCCTTGAATTCGCTTTGCCAGGAAGCTTATTTGGCAGTTCCCACTGAGACCTCCTGACATTTGTATGTGTGTCTCTCTCTTCCTTTCCCTTCCAGGACCTGGCGAACCTTGCACCCAGGAAGCCCGACTGGTGAGTAGTCATAGCTGAGTCATGTGTTCCAGACAGGCGTCACAGAAAGGTCAGAAAGTTTGAAGTTCTGGCATACTGCTCTACGGGCAGCCGTTAAATGATTAGAGATTTGAAGGCCTGGGGAAAAAAAATCCCCCCCCCCCCCGTTTTTTTCCCTGAAGCCTTTTTTGTTTTTTTCCAAAAAATTGGAAAAATTGAAAAAAGAAAAGAAAAGGAAAAAAAAATGAATACGGAAAATTTTATTTTAACATGATGGATAAAATATTTTAAGACAAGGTGTTCAAATATTTTCCAAATCATTTGTAAAAAATACGTCTGGTATCAGATTGATCTAATTTCTGTGCATTGAGGACAAGCAAGTCCTAGGTTACAAACTGAACTCTCCGATGCAAGAACAAGATGCATTTCTTCCTTTAGGAGGTGCTGTTGTCACGAGAAAAGACAAAGGTTTCAGTTTTGTTTTTGCATGTGGGCGGGTATTCTGTTTGTAATAATGGTTTAGATACACTATATTTCAAAATTTCCAGAAATTTTACGTCTCTATAAATGATATCCTGAGCTAGAAGAGGAGGATCTTGAAGTACTGCTGGAAAATGTATTTATCTATTTATTTATTTTATTCGACTTATATCCTGCCCTCCCCCGCATGGCAGGCTCAGGGCGGGTTACATCAAATTTAATAAAATAAAATATATACCACTAATACAATTACAACACTAATAAACTCCCACCATGGCCTTCATCCAGTGCCGTTGTCATTGACATGAAAACCTCACAGATGCCAACTGTAATATGCAGTTCTGACCCATTGAGTGGAAGCCCAGTAAAGAGGGAGGGACGTCCGTCGCCCTAATTAAAAGCCTGGTGGAAGAGCTCCGTCTTGCAGGCCCCGTGGAACTGTAAAAGTCTGGTAATCTATAGTTTCTATGTCACACAGCCAAAAACTCATTAAGATGGATCGGTTCAGTTGGGCGCTATTTTTTCCAGGCCCGGCACAAGCTTGTAATACAGGGCCCCCCCCCCCCTTCCACACTGAGACCGCGATTCCTCATCCCATCAGGGAGGGGCTGTGGCTCAGTGGAGGAGTCCCAGCTTGGCATGCAGAAGGTCCCAGGTTCCATCCCTGACATCTCCAATTTAAAAAGATGGGGCAGGAGGTTGATGGGAAAGACCTCCACCTGAGATGCTGGAGAGCTGCTGCCGATCTGAGTAGAAGAGACTGATTTTGGTGGTCCGAAGATCTGATTCGGTTTAAGGCAGATTCATGTGAGGGACCGTGGATCAGTGGCAGAGCCTCTGCTTGGCATGCGGAAAGTCCCCGGTTCAATCCCCGGCATCTCCAGGTAATAGGACCGGGCAGGAGGTGGTGGGAAAGACCCCAGCCCGAGACCCTGAAGAGCTGTAAAGAGGGGCTGTGGCTCAGTGACAGAGCACCTGCTTGGCATGCAGGAGGTCCCAGGTTCAATCCCCGGCAGCAGTTCCAGTTAAAAGGACCAGGCAGGAGGTGATGGGAAAGACCTCCGCCTGAGACCCTGGAGAGCTGTAAAGAGGGGCCGTGGCTCAGGGGCAGAGCCTCTGCTTGGCATGCAGAAGGTCCCAGGTTGAATCCCCGGCATCTCCAGTTAAAAGGACCAGGCAGTAAGTGATGGGAAAGACCTCTGCCTGAAACTCTGGAGAGCTGTAAAGAGGGGCCGTAAAGAGCATCTGCTTGGCATGCAGGAGGTCCCAGGTTCAATCCCCGGCATCTCCAGTGAAAAGAACCAGGCAGGAGGTGATGGGAAAGACCTCCGCCTGAGACCCTGGAGAGCTATAAAGAGGGGCCGTGGCTCAGTGGAAAAGCTTTGGCTTTGCATGCAGGAGGTCCCAGGTTCAATCCCCGGCAGCATTTCCAGTTAAAAGGACCAGGCAGGAGGGGATGTGAAAGACCTCTGCTTGAGACCCTGGAGAGCTGTTGAGTCTGAGGAGACAAGACTGACTTTGGTGGACCGAGGGTCTGATCCGGTATGAGGCAGCTGCATGTGTCCTGTCCATTCACCACATCTATTCCATCTCACGAGCTGTGAAAAAGGTTCCTTTTAGTTCTGAAATTGTTCCACAGTTGACATTTCTGGGAAATGCTGGCCTTTGCTTTAGTATTAACACCCAGCCGAAGTGTCCTGCACGTTGGCTGGCCATTCTTAACGTTTTGGTCCTTATCGTGTCAGTAGCTCGATTTGAGCCCAGTAGCACCTTCAAGACCAACAAGATTTTGGGGGGGTCTAAGTTCCCAAAAGTCAAAGATGTCTTCTGATCTGACAAAAGGAGTGTCGCCTCTTGAAAACGTAGAGCCTCAAAATCCAGCCAGTCTCAAAGGTGCTCCTGGACTTGAAGCTTTGCCAGTCTACTGCAGAGGAGGAAAAGAAGAGATTGGATTTATGCCCCGCCCTTCACTACCCGAGGGAGTCTCAGAGCGGCTTACAAACTCCTTTCCCTTCCCCTCCCCACAACAGACACTCTATGAGGCAGGTGGGGCCAAGAGAGCTCTGACTGAAACTGCTCTTTTTCAAGGACAGCTCTTATCAGAACTATGGCGTGCCCAAGGTCATCCAGTAGCTGCAAGTGGAAAAATGAGTTCTCCCAGATCAGAGTCCACGCAGATTAGATTAGAGACCAACACGGCTGCCCTCTGGAAGTATCCTGGTTTGGGTAGTAATGCCAGTTTTCTGCTCCAAGCCCTTTTGCAAGTGGAATGGGTTGTCCATCTAATGTATCAGCATTTCATGGAGGGAACCTAAGAACAGCCCTGCTGGATCTGACCAGGGAGGGTCCCTCTAGTCCAGCCTCCTGTCTCACACAGGGGCCAGCCAGTTCCTCTGGAGGGCCAACAACAGGGCACAGAGGCTGAGGCCTTCCCATGTTAACCTCAGAAGAGCCCTGCTGGATCAGACCAGGGAGGGTCCATCTAGTCCAGCATCCCATCTCACGCAGTGGCCAGCCAGTTCTGGAGGGCCAACAACAGGGCACAGAGGCCAAGGCCTTCCCATGTTAAGAACCTCAGAAGAGCCCTGCTGGGTCAGACCAGGGAGGGTCCATCTAGTCCAGCATCCTATCTCATGCAGTGGCCAGCCAGTTCCTCTGGAGGGCCAACAACAGGGCATGGAGGCCGAGGCCTTCCCCTGAGAAGAACACCAGAAGAGCCCTCCTGGATCAGACCAGGGAGGATCCATCTAGTCCAGCATCCCGTCTCACACAGGGGCTAGCCAGTTCCTCTGGAGGGCCAACAACAGGGCATGGAGGCCGAGGCCTTCCCCTGAGAAGAACAGAAGAGCCCTGCTGGGTCAGACCAGGGAGGGTCCCTCTAGTCCAGCCTCCCGTCTCACACAGGGGCCAGCCAGTTCCTCTGGAGGGCCAACAACAGGGCATGGAGGCCGAGGCCTTCCCCTGAGAAGAACACCAGAAGAGCCCTGCTGGGTCAGACCAGGGAGGGTCCATCTAGTCCATCCTCCCGTCTCACACATTGGCCAACTAGTTCCTCTGGACAACCAACAACAGGGCAGAGAGGCCCAGGCCTTGACCTGATGTTGCTTCGTGGCTCTGGGATTCAGAGGTTGACTGCCCCTGAACATGGAGGTCCCCCTCAGTCTCCGTGGCTAGTAGCCCCCGATAGATTTCTCCTCCATGAATCTCTCTCATCCCCTTTTAAAGCTGTCTATTCCTGTGGCCATCACTGCACGCTCTGGCAGCGAACTCCACGTTTTCATCCCTCTCTGTGTAAAGAACTTGCCCTTTGTCCAGTTCCTTATACTTCTGATTGTCCCCTGTGTCAGGGGATCCCTGTAAGGGCTTGAATTTCCCAAGCGCCGTCCCTTCCCAGGGCAGCGGCCGTGCTGGGCCTTCGGCCCGAAGGAACTGTCCGTTCCGAGGCTCGATTTCCACGTCCCCGGGGGAGCCGCTCCTGCAGGGGACTGTGCTTGTCTGTGGACTTTATTTGTGTCCATGTCCTCGTTTTGCTCCCCAGGGATCTGAAGCGAGACGTTGCTAAGAAACTGGAGAAGCTTGAGAAGCGAACCCAAAGAGCCATCGCAGAGCTGATAAGTGAGTGAACGCATCCAAGGATGGCGTGACTGGAGAGTGGACAAAGTTTGAGATTTCAGCTTGGGGGCGGGGGGGGGGGATGTGTCTGCTACAGGAAACGCTGGCCGTCTCCCATAACACCACCCCCCATCCGATTTTTGGTGTTTATTCAACTGCTGGCTTCCTCTGCCTTTGCCTCAGTGCGGTTCTTATTTATCCCTTTATCCATTTATACCCCGCCGTTCTCCCCATTGGAGAGCCCAAGTGGCACCCATCCTTCTCTCCTGTATTTTTTTATCCCCTCAACAGCCCTGCGAGGTAGGCAAGGCTGAGGGGGTGTGACCCATGCCGCCTCTAAGCAGTGGCGTCCTGTGAGCAAAAATCCTACTTTGTGAACTGCTGGCGTTAAAGTTGTGAGCGAGCGATTTGGCTGCTGCATCCGTTAGTTTGCTCCGCAGCCCACCTTCCTGAGCCGAGACAAGAATGTGTGAGCCGGAGGCTAAAAAAACTGCAGGAGGTCCCTGGTTCAATCCCCGGCAGCATCTCCTGTTTAAAGGACCAGGCTGGAGGTGATCGGAAAGACCTCCGCCTGTGACCCTGGAGAGCTGTAAAGAGGGGCCGTGGCTCAGTGGCAGAGCACCTGCTTGGCATGCAGGAGGTCCCAGGTTCAGTCCCCGGCACCTCCAGTTAAAAGATCAGTTTGTAGGTGATGGGAAAGACCTCCGCCTGAGACCCTGGAGAGCTGTAAAGAGGGGCTGTGGCTCAGTGGCAGAGCACCTGCTTGGCATGCAGGAGGTCCCAGGTTCAGTCCCCGGCACCTCCAGTTAAAAGATCAGTTTGTAGGTGATGGGAAAGACCTCCGCCTGAGACCCTGGAGAGCTGTAAAGAGGGGCCGTGGCTCAGTGGCAGAGCACCTGCTTGGCATGCAGGAGGTCCCAGGTTCAGTCCCCGGCACCTCCAGTTAAAAGATCAGTTTGTAGGTGATGGGAAAGACCTCCGCCTGAGACCCTGGAGAGCTGTAAAGAGGGGCCGTGGCTCAGTGGCAGAGCACCTGCTTGGCATGCAGGAGGTCCCAGGTTCAGTCCCCGGCACCTCCAGTTAAAAGATCAGTTTGTAGGTGATGGGAAAGACCTCCGCCTGAGACCCTGGAGAGCTGTAATGAGGGGCTGTGGCTCAGCGACAGAGCATCTGTTTAGCCGGCAGAAGGTCCCAGGTTCAATCCCCGGCAGCATCTCCAGTTAAAAGGACCAGGCAGGAGGTGATGGGAAAGATCTCTGCCTGGAATCTTGGAGAGCAGCTTCCAGTCTGAGCGGATGATACCAACCTTGATAGGCCGAGGGGTTTTATTCAGTAGACGGCAGCTTCATCTGTGTGCTTGTTTGGCTCTTATTCTCAAGCTGTTCTTGCCAGCCCTGGCTTCCTACTTTATTCTGGGGAAGGAATCACTCGGGGGTTGCTAAGCAACTGGTCGCAGAACCTCCCAGCTGCCTTCGTCATGAAGGATAACCAGGTTGGGAGTTTTCGGGCAAAGCTGCGTCCATCCCGGCTCAGAGCAGTCGTGCTAGATCAGCCACGGCTCACTGGAAGCCAGCAGGACTTGACATATTCGAAGTGGTGCCATGCAACTAAATCCCAAAATCAGATTTGGGGGGGGGGGGAGACCTGGTAGTTGCCCTCTGCATGCCGTCAAAGCCGTGGCAGTTTCTTATAAGCAGGTAATATAAGGTAACAGCGTTCCGTGCGCCTTGGTGTTTAGTCATGCCGGCCACATGACCATGGAAACGTCTTCGGACAGCGCTGGCTCCTTGGCTTTGAAACGGAGATGAGCACCGCAGCCCTAGAGTCGGATTTGCCTGGCTTTCGAGCAAGGCAACCTTTACCTTTACCTTTAATATAAGGAAATAAGAAAAAGAAGAGGTTATAAACAAGATTGGGATTAAGATATAAACAGACGATATGTCACCTCAATGGGGTTTTTTTTGTTTTTGTTTTGTTTAGTTTCAAAAAGAGTATAATATATTAGGAAAGAAATATCTGTATGAAATTGTAATATATGCTCAATAAAAAAATGAAAGGGGGGAAAAAGAAAGCCGTGGCAGTTTCTAAGCAGCATCTCCGTTTCCCTCCTAGGAGAGAGGCTGAGAGGCCAGGAGGAGGACTTGGCATCGGCCGTGGATTCAGCGAAGCAAGACGGAAGCGATTCGGACTGAGGCAGCCCCTCGAGGGCTCTCGGAGAGGCCGACTCCCACGACGACTTCTGAAGAAGCTTTTGTAGTTCTCTTCTGGGTGCTGGCCGCCCAAGCGATCAACCACATGTCTGGCGCGTGTCTAAGGGTTTTGGTTTCTCAGAATCGGGGTGCTTGCGGGTGTTAAAAGCTGGTTTTTGGGGGAGGCCGGGCCACCATCTTGGAGGTCTGGTCCGTGGCGAGAAACAGCCAAGGAGAACAAGGGGGTGGAAAGGAAATGAAGGGGGAAACACATCTGTCTTCAGAGCAGTGTTTGTCGCAGGACACCCTCTGATCTAATTCCGATACACCAAAGAAACAGCGACGAAATAGCCAAAAGGGCGAAAAGGGACTGCTGTGTAGATACGGCGGAGGGTTGGATCCAGAAGGTCCACTCTGCTTGCTTCGGAGCTTTCCTCCGGCACAAGCATGCCCGTCTGTCCCTGAACCACACTTCTCCCACCGAACCAAGGTTCCTGGCACCGGAAGGCGGCTCTGCCGTTTGCACAGCAGAACCTGTGGATCCGTCCCTTAATCACCGGAGCCATCCTGCGAATATTGCTGGTGTTCGGCATCTCTCAGGAATGGCATACAAACAGTTTGCCCCTAGGGGTAATAAAATGACTGGCAGCGCCGTCCTTGGGAGAGCGAGACCCTTCCCACCCCATTGAAGCTGGGGGGGGGGGGTCCAGTTCCGCTTAGAAACAGCACTGTGCGTGTTTCAAGCCGCCGAGTTCACCGACAGGCGAAGCGAAGTCACATCTGGCTCTTCCGCGAGCGATCTTTTCCGAGAGCGATCCCGTGAGGCTTAGCCCAAAGGGAGGGGGCGTGGCAGTATGTGTGTCTCCCCGGCTCTCACGAGCAGCGTTCTGGATTCGGCACATGGATGTCACTCCGGCTGCTGCTGAACGGCCGTGAGGACTCCTTTCCTGGGTGCATGAACTTCCAAGATGCTCCCCCCCCCCCGGCCCCGCAAGTATCAGGTCTAGTGTTGCCGGAAGAGCTCCTAAGTACAGCGTAGGGTGCTCACGACAGTGGGCTAACCGCAGCCGCCGAATTTTTTCAGTGCTCCCCCCCCCCCCGGCCCCCTCCCCCCCGGGTTTTTTTTTTTTTGTCTTTGGAGGGGGGGCAATAGGAAGGTGTCAGCGGTCTCCCATCGGAGCCGGCCTCGTTTCCATCTTGCACAGGTGTGTGTGTGTGTTGTGGGCACAAAGCTGCCGGATTGCCACTTGGATTCCCAACAGTGTGGCCCAGGCCCTAGACTCCTCTCCCCCCTCCCCCGCACCGGTGTTGCTTGTCCAGCAGAAGGGCTGAGTTGCCGGGGAGGGGGGGGGCGCTTCTCAGAGATGCAGGCCCAAAGCATCGGGACAGCCACAGCGCTGGAAGCGGCACGCACAGCCGGCGTGACCTGGGCGTCCGGTTCCTGCACTCGCACTGTCATCACCATCCCACCAAAGAATCTGGATGAAAGCTGAGATCCCTTCGACTGGGCACCTCTGGACCGGTTCCGAACCACCCGGGCCCAGCGGAAAGCCAAGAGCTCTGCCTGGAACGGTTCAGTGTCCTGGGTTGTGTGTGTGGCCACAGGCTGCCTCTCGTGTGTTATAGCCCGGGAGGTTGGCACCCAGCTCTTCTGGTTCCCCTTGCCGTCAGGCCTTCCGCAAAACGTCGCCTGCCGTCCTCCACAGCCACCGCTGCGTTGTTCGTATGAGTTCCTTTTTATAATAAACTATTCCAAAGTCGGTCCTGCCGTGGCTTGTACCTCTTTTGCTTGGCCTTCGGAGCTTTCTGTCCGTTTCAGAAGATAAATGGCAGGAGTGGCGGGTGGAAAGGAGTATGATCTATATTTCCTTGTCTATAACGCCAGTGATGAGCAATTTTTATGGGTGTGTGAATGGAAAGGATTGTCCTTGTGATGACCCCTTATCTGGGGAGGTCTGGTTTCCCTTTAAAAGTGTTCTTTATTTGGTTCTACTAGGGTATATCCGGCTGCCACCAGGAAATTTAAGGCTTTCCAAACCTTTATTTCTTCACTTTGGCTCTTACTGGGTAGGTAGGTCGAGTTTAAGGCTCATGAGGATCTATGTGGTCCTAAGGAAGTATTTATTTCAGAGTTGGCAATGGCATACTTGAATAAAAGAAGATTTATTGAAATAATTCATAAATAAAGGGTAGAACAATGTAACCAGTAAGGTGAATCTTTTTAACAATTGCTTGGTGTCTCATACAAGATCTGCTCCCTTCCTGACAAGGATTTTTTAGGTAACTTTGTAACACTTTAACTCCAGGACATAGACGTAGACTGTTTCACTACAGTCTGTCACTCAGACTTTCTTATAACTCTGAACAACATCAACAGACAGCTTAACTGCTTTCACACCGAAATGCTTCTCACTTTTCTCATACACAGAACTTAACTCGCTGCTTCTCTCACAGACCTCAGAACTAACTATCTTATCGACTGTCTTTATCAACTGTCAAACCTGTAACTCTCACTCTTGACAGACATACATATTCATCCACTCAGAACCACTTCCAAAACCCCTCCCCCCTCTGTCAATCACCAATCACACCACTCTTGTCTCTTCAACCACTCTAATATATCTCAGCCATGCAACCAAACTTTTAAAGAGACACACACACACATAAAACAAGGAATCATTACAGTCCTGCTGCAGGGGTCCCCAGTGTGGCGCGTGTGGCTGCCTCGCTGCCCACTGATACCTTTCTTTATGCCTGCTTAGTGTTTCCAGTAACTGAGCAGAGCCAGGTGGGTCTGTTACAGTTTGGTGTTGTGGTTAGGCGTGCGGACCCTGATCTGGGAGAACCGGGTTTGATTCCCCACTCCTCCGCATGCAGCTGCTGGTGTGACCTTGGGTCAGTCACAAGTACTCTCTGAGCTGTTCTCTCAAGGGCAGTCCTCGAAAGAGCTCTCTCTCAGCCCCACCTACCTCCCAGGGTGTCTGTTGTGGGGAGGGGAAGGGAAAGGAGTTTGTAAGCCGCTGTGAGACTCCTTTGGGTAGTGAAGGGCGGGGTATAAATCCAATCTCTTCTTCTAATCTGGGAGAACAGGGCTTGATTCCCCACTCCTCCGCATGCAGCTGCTGGTGTGACCTTGGGTCAGTCACAAGTTCTCTCAGAGCTGTTCTCTCAAGGGCAGTCCTCGAAAGAGCTCTCTCTCAGCCCCGCCTACCGCACAGGTTGTCTGTTGCGGGGAGGGGAAGGGAAATTGTAAGCCGCTCTGAGACTCCTTTGGGTAATGAAGGGCGGGGTATAAATCCAGTCTCCTCCTCCTCTTCTATAACGGCAATAAATGAAAAGCAGGTAGCAGGAATATGTTATCAGAATAGCCTCTTCTAAAATCAGTCGATGTCACAGTGAGCCATAGTTCTGTCATTTCTGTTCTCTCAAGGGCAGTCCTCGAAAGAGCTCTCTCTCAGCCCCATCGACCGCACAGGGTGTCCATTGTGGAGGGGGGAAGGGAATGGAGGCTGTAAGCTGCCCCGAGACTCCTTCAGGTAGTGAAGGGCCATGGGGTATAAATCCAGTCTCTCTGTCTTTTTCTTACCCAGCAAGGCTTCTGATTGGCCACTGGAAATTTGATTCACACGGCAGATTTTTTTACAAAATGTTGCTTTAGCAGCTGCCGCCGCCGCACAACGATCTTCACTGGGCGACTACAGGTAAACCGCGGCAGCCATTTTGTTACTGGCTGAGCCTCCTGTGGCAGCCATTTTGTGGCTGTGCCCGCCGATCTATGTCAGAATTCTAAAAGCCCCCCCAGGTTCAAAAAGGTTGGGGGCTGCTATCCTAATGGGTATGAAAATGTCACGGTCTACCAATCTTCCATCACACGTAAATAAGAACATAAGAAGAGAAGAGATTGGACTTATACCCCCCGCCCTTCACCACCCAAAGAAGTCTCAGAGGGGCTTACAATCTCCTTTCCCTTCCCCTCCCCACAACAGGCACCCTGTGAGCAGTGTTCCCTCTAAGCTGAGTTAGTGTGAGCTACCTCACAGTTTTTTAGCCTCCGGCTCACACATTATTGTCTTAGCTCAGGAAGGAGGGCTCCAGAGCAAACTAACTTAAGCAGCAGTCAATTCACCTGCTTACAACTTTAATGCCAGGAGCTCACAAAGTAGAATTTTTGCTCACAGGGCTCCATAGCTTAGAGGGAACATTGCCTGGGAGGTAGGTGGGGCTGAGAGAGCTCTGACAGAAACTGCTCTTTTTCAAGGACAGCTCTTATCAGAACTATGGTTTGCCCAAGGTCATCCAGCCAGCTGCGAGTGGAGGAGTGGGGAATCAAACCCGGTTCTCTTATACCCCCCGCCCTTCACCACCCAAAGAAGTCTCAGAGGGGCTTACAATCTCCTTTCCCTTCCCCTCCCCACAACAGGCACCCTGTGAGCAGTGTTCCCTCTAAGCTGAGTTAGTGTGAGCTACCTCACAGTTTTTTAGCCTCCGGCTCACACATTATTGTCTTAGCTCAGGAAGGAGGGCTCCAGAGCAAACTAACTTAAGCAGCAGTCAATTCACCTGCTTACAACTTTAATGCCAGGAGCTCACAAAGTAGAATTTTTGCTCACAGGGCTCCATAGCTTAGAGGGAACATTGCCTGGGAGGTAGGTGGGGCTGAGAGAGCTCTGACAGAAACTGCTCTTTTTCAAGGACAGCTCTTATCAGAACTATGGTTTGCCCAAGGTCATCCAGCCAGCTGCGAGTGGAGGAGTGGGGAATCAAACCCGGTTCTCACAGATGAGTGTCCTGTCTCACACAGTGGCCAGCCAGTTTCCCTGGAGGGCAAACAACAGGGCAGAGAGGCCGAGGCCTTCCCCTGAAGTTGCCTCCTGGCTCTGTGATTCACAGGTTTAGTGCTTCCGAATGGGGAGGTTCCCCTCCGTCACCATGGCTAGTAGCCACTGAAAGACCTCCATGAATAACCCGTCTAACCCCCTTTTAAAGCCATTCCCGTGGCCATCACTACATCCTCTGGCAGCGAATTCAGCATTGTAATCGCTCTCTGTGTCCGGTAGCATTTCCTTTCGCCCGTCCGAACCTACTGCCCATCAGCTTCATTGGATGCCCTAGTCTTTTGGGAGAGGGAGAAAAAGTCCCCTTTGTCAACCGTCTCCATCTCATGCATAATTTTATAAGCCTGTGTCACGTTCCCCGTGGAGCTGCAGTGGCTCAAGTGGTTAAGACGCTGAACTGCAGGTTGTGGGAGGTCGGTAGTTCAGCAGTTCGAGACCCGAGTGTGCCGCATGACGGAGTGAGCTCCCGTCTCTCGTTCCAGCTCCTGCCAACCTAGCAGTTTGAAAGCAAGAAATTGCAAGTAGATAAACAGGTACCACTTTGGCGGGAAGGTCACAGCGTTTCGTGCGCCTTGGTGTTTAGTCATGCCGGCCACATGATCATGGAAATGTCTTCGGACAGCACTGGCTCTTCGGCTTGGAAACGGAGATGAGCACCGCAACCCTAGAGTCGGACTCGACTGGCTTTCGAGCAGGAGAACCTTGACCTTTACCTTTATCACGTCCCCCCCCCTTTCCAAACCGAAAAGTCCAAGACGCTTCAGCCTTCCCCCCCCTTCACGGGGAGAGGCCATGGCGTAACAGTGAGACGTTCGGCCGGTGAGGCAAGTTGGTGGTGACGAAACGGCTCAAACCCCAGATTTCGCCATCTGCGCAAAGGCCTTTTCCGCTTTATCGTAAGAGAAGGAGACGTTCTCGAGGCAGCCCTG